CCTTAAGAGATATCAAGTAGGCGTAACATGTTCTCAAAAAATTAGGGTGGGCATGCAGAAGAATTTTGAGTCAGAGATTTTGCTGATTTTGGCACGCACTCACAAAAAGGTAGCCCACCTCTGTCCTAAGCCCTAATTAATTAGGGAGTACCCTAATTAACTTAATAACAATGTACCTACCTATATAGTTTAAGTTTAAAAAATTTGGCTCTCAAAAGAAATTTCAATCGTTGTACTGTTGATATTTGGCTCTGTTGACTAATGAGTTTGCCGAACAACTGTTCTAGGCTCATCAAAGCTATATCTTTTTCAGAACAGTAGTACATCTATGAACCCTATTACTCTAATAATTAGCAGGCTAAAACATTGTAAGTCCAATGTCTAAAAGAAATTCAGAAAGATGTATTAGGATGAACCATATTGCCAATATTTAACTACTTTTGACCTGTAAAAATGGCTATTTTGTAAGATTTTACCTATGGTAAACTGTAATGAAAGGCTAAAGGGAAATAGGATGTCTGGGAATAAAGGCTAAATATTTAGTGGACATTAGGGAGCTAGGGTGACCAGTCATCCTGATTTGCCATGGACAGGGGAGTTTCCTGGTACATGAGACTTTCAGCACTAAAATGAGGAAACTATTAAACAAATAAGAATCAGTTGGTTACCCTAGGGAGTAGCCACATCAGTTCATATTTTCCATTGGTATTAGAATTAGAGGCAGCATTTCTTATATAAAATGTTTTTCAATTCTCACCGGAAGCTATTTTTCCATTGGGTTTTTTTTAGAGAGAGTGGAAAGGAGGGAGAGAGACAGAGAGAAACACTGATGTGAGAGAGACACATCCATTGGCTGCCTCCTGTATGCACCTTCCCCCGACCAGGCCTGGGATTGAGCCTTAACCAAGGTACCCACCCTTGGCCAGAATCAACCCTGGTGTCAGTCTGTGGGCTGACACTCTATCCACGGAGCCAAACTGGCCAGGACTATAAATATTTTTAAGTGGACAAATTTACCTTATCAAATTTGGCAGCTTTCCCTTTGGGTGCAGTAACTAGAGGAACTCTGGTGATCTCTACAGGCCACAATCGGCAATCAGCAATTCGCTTCTGAAAACTGTATGTCAAGAATCAGACCATTAGCATTGCGTGCAAAAATGTAGTTAGTATAATTTAGGTTAAAGGAAAGTATTCCCCTCTTTTAAAAAGTAATGGAATACACACATATAAATGATTATTAGGTAAGTGGATTTTTTTAACCTTCTCAAATCTATAAAACTCTTGAAAATAATTCTGTACTGCTAGCAGAAGCAAATTATACATTTTTGAGAGCAATTTGGTAATATGAATCAAAAGCCTTAAAATGTGCATAATCTTTAACCCAGAAATTCCACTCCTAGTGATATTTTCTAAAGAAATAATCAGACAAATATGCAAAAATAGTAGAAAATATGTTAATCTCTACTGTGATAATGGAGAAGGGCTTCGAGTATCAGCTGACTGGCACCTAAAGAGCTTAGAAGTTTCATTACTTTCCTTACAATAAACAAAAAAAAGCTGATCAAACTGAAAAATCAACAACTTGTCTTAGATCCATCTAAGAAACAAGGTCACAGGGCAAATTGCCACTTTGAAGTTTGGAGAGACAGTCAAGTACAGAGAATCACAGCTGAGATCAGAAGCCGCTGGAGTCCTGTTACAGATAGAAACAATCAAGGGTAATCTTGACACATTGCTGGAGGCTGAGTGTGGGTAAGCCAGAGAGTTAAAAACTCCTGGGGGCCCATTCCTAGGGGTTCCCCACACTTTTTTAGATTTTAAAACAAGGAGCTCAGCAGTTTCTCACAGTGAAGATAAGATTAAAAATCCTCTTAGGTAGAGAGAAGGAAAAGTAACCATTTTGAAATATGCCGAGTGTTCTCCATATCAAAGGCCTACTCTTTCAGGGAAACTACTTTACCAGAGCTTTATCTGACTCCGGGAAGGGCCATTAGGTACCTCCAGCCTCTTCTAGGTTTCCTGCCTCACAAAAGGACCGAAAGAAAAAAAGGCTATTAAACGTTCTGAAGGTCAGAACCCAGGGACTCAAACCTTTTAAAATACTGATATTTGATCATAGGGCTATAGAACAATCCTCCTCCCCAATACCTTGCCACTACATCAACAGAATTTCACTATAATAACAATGGATTATAACTGAGAGACTGCAAAACACAGACCCTATCTAAGAAAAAGTTCTTAGGCAAACCCACAGACAGCAGGGGAAGAACAAAAGAAAGGAAACTGAAGCTTTTAGCACCTACAACTAGAGCAAACATTAAGCGCAGCCCAGCTACTAGCCGATTAACATAAAATCGCACATTAAAAAACCTAATTGCCAAAAAAAATTACTCAGTACATAATGTCCAGCTTTCAATAAAAAATTACAAGATCAAGAGTACTGTCATTAAATAATTAAAAAATGGGCAAAAGACCTACATAGACACTTCTCTAAAGTAGACATACATACAAATGGCCAAGAGACATATGAAAAAATGCTCAAAGTCACTGATCATCAAAGGGATGCAAATTAAAAGGTCTATGAGGTATCACCTCACACCTGTCAAAATGGCTATCATCAACAAATCAACAAATGACAAGTACTGCTGAGGATGAGAAGAAAAGGGAACCCTAGTACACTGCTGGTGGGAATGCAGCCACTGTGGAAAACAGTATGAAGTTTTCTCAAAAAATTAAATATGGCCCTGGCTGGTTTGGCTCAGTGAATAGAGCATCTGCCTGGGGACTGAAGGGTCCCGGGTTCACTTCCAGCCAAGGGCACATGCCTGGGTTTTGGGCTTGGTCCCCAGTGGGGGGCGTGCAGGAGGCAGCTGATTAATGATTCTCATCACTTATGTTTCAATCTCTCTCTCCCTCTTCCTTCCTTTCTGAAATCAATAAAAATATATATTTTTTTTAAAAAATTGCCCTAACCGGTTTGGCTCAGTGGATAGAGTGTTGGCCTGCGGACTCAAGGGTCCCAGGTTCGATTCTGGTCAAGGGCATGTACCTTGGTTGCAGGCACATCCTCAGTAGAGGATGTGCAGGAGGCAACTGATAGATGTTTCTCTCTCAGCGATGTTTCTAACTCTCTATCCCTCTCCCTTCCTCTCTGTGAAAAATCAATAAAATATATTAAAAAAATAAAAATA